GTGAAACTGTGGAATTAATCAGGGCTCAGTCTTAAAGGGCTTTCTGCTGAGATTCTTAGGCTTCATTCAAAGAGCAAGTAGGACCCACACAGTCTTTAATTAGAGGAGTGACATGAAGCATGCTCGCGATGTAGAGATCTGCTGTGGCCGTTATTTGGATTCTATATTGGGTTAAAGGAGAGAATTAGAAAAAAAAATAGGAGAGAATTAGAAAGCGCGGTACTGGCTTTGGAGGCCTTCACAGTAATTTAAAAGAATGGTAATGGACAAGACATTACGTAGTAGGAATGGATGAAGGAACCATCTGTGGAAGATGCAACCATAACACAACTTTGTGTTTACCCACGTGAATTCTGGGAAGGATTGTCTTGGTTCATCTTCTATAACAAAATACTGAAGGCTGGTGGCTCATAAAGAAGGGGGGTGCTTATTTAGTTCCTAACCCTGAAGCCTGGGGCTGGGACCTGCTTGGCTTCCAAAAAGGACCACATACAGCTTGTATGATGGAGAAGCAGCAGGCATAGTGGTTGTGTGCAAAGGGAGCCCAACACGTGAGGTGCTTTCTTACAACAACCTATTCACTCAGCAGGGAAACCAGCCTCCAGAAAATAAGAATTCACTCTCATGAGAAAAACCTTAGTTCCCAGTGACTTATTTAACATTTCCATTCATTTGCTCATCATGTGTTTGTGGCGTGTGCAGTCTCCTGTGTGAGCATTGTGGAGTGTACAGTCTCGTGCGTTGTACATGGAGATCCAAAGGAGAGTCTCAGCTGTCCTACTCCGTTGCTTTTCCCCTTATTCTCTTGAGCCAGGGTCTCTCACAGAACCTAGAGCTAGAATGACTGCCAGATAGCCCCAGAGAACCTCCTGTCTTTGTCTCCCAGAGCACTAGTGTTATAGGTATACACGAAACTATGCCTAGCATTTCATGTGGGTGTTTGAGATTTGAAATTATGCTGTCATGTTTACACAGTGGATGTTCTTATCTCTTAAGTCATCTCTCTAGTCATGACTTATTTAGCTTTTACTTCAATTTTTTAAAAAAGATCTTATTAATTCTTTGAGAATGACTATCTCCTCTGATATAATCCTTTATCTCCCCACTCCCAACAAACTTCCTGTTCTCTTTTACTTATTTTTAATAACTCAGTTTTTGCAGTTCAGATACTCAGGGTGTAAGACCATTCCCTGGGGGTGGTTAACCTACTAGGGGCCACACCCTTGAAGAAGACTGACTCTCATTCCCTGAGAAGCCATTAGCGATAAAACATTTCCCAGTTAGGGGTGGGGACTTACAAGGCCATCTCATCTCCATGCTGACTGGCTTGATCTTGTGCAGGTCTTGTGTAGGCAACCACAGCTCTGAGTTCAAGAGTGAAATGGCTTTGTCATGTCTCAAAGACACTTTTGCTGTAGTCCTCCTTGACCTCTGACTTCTGACTCCTACAGTCTTTCTGCTCATTTCTGCTTGGGTCACCTAGTCTCTTTACCCTGACTTACTCAGTTGTAAATTTCTGTGTTAACCACCATATATTATATAAAAGAAGCTTCTCTGGTGAGGTCTGAGCACTGCATTAACCCACAGGTGCATTAACCCACGGGTGCATTAATCCACGGGTGCAGGAACCGTTTTACTTAGGCTTTCTATTACTGTGATAAAACACCATGACCAAAAGCAACTTGTAAAAGAAAGCATTTGATTGGGCTTACAACTTCAGAGGGTCAGAGTCTGTGACGGTGGAGCATAGTGGTAAGAATAACTGAGAGCTCACACCTTGAGTCACAAGAGCTCATACCTTGAGTCACAAGAACTCACACCTTGAGCCACAAGCAGGAGGCAGAGGGAGAGACAAAGCATGCACACTGGGAATGGAATTTAAAAAATTTCAAAGCCCACCTCCTAAGTGATACATCTCCTCCAACAAGACCACACCTCCTAGTCCTTCCCAAATAATTCCATCATTTCGGAATCAAGCATTCAAATCTATGAGTCAGTGTGGGCCATTTTACAGAGGTATTAATTTAGAGGTTGGTTTGATACTGTCCATTTAACAAGACAATTCACTTAACTTTTAATGACTTGGTTCTTTCTTATCAGAGACTAAGCCTCAGCATGAAGTTTGATGGTAACAGATGCTTTCCAAACATGTAGCTAGGATAAGAGAACTTTTCTTTTTTCTCTACTGTCCTCTCTTTCTTTATTCTTCCCTGTCTCCTTCTCCACCCTCCTTTTCTCTGATGTCCCGATAGACAGTGTCATGTTACTCACTGAAGCAGAGAACACAGAAGAGGAGAAGGCACCCTAGGAGTAAGACGATGCTTGGCTTGGGTCATTCTTCAGGAGCTCATCATTTGTCCATGTGAATAAACACACTAGGCTGTTATACATCTAGGCTAGGAACTCCAGGGTTGAATCTCAATTCATGTTGTAGATTTTGGATGTCTGTGTGTGTGTGTGTGTGTGTGTGTGTGTGTGTGTGTGTGTGTGTGTGTGTGTATGTGCTGAAATGGAGAGAATAAAGGTTTATGGACCAAACTCCGAGGAACCCTGATATTGGAGAAATAACAGAAGAACTCATGAAAGCTTCAGAAGAGGGGGTGGTTAGAGGGAAGGTGAGCAGCAGTGTTGTGTATCAGGGAAGCCAAGATAGGAGGCACAGGGGAGGATTGGATTGTGCTGACTCAGGACTTATGGAAGAGTTGGATGGAATTTAACAATAAAGTATTTAGGTTTCATAAGTCTAGAACAGTTGGCATAGAAACACATGTTAGGGAGATATAACAGTGATGTTACATAGCATAATCAATATGGCTATTTTATATAAGATCAACCATTTTGAAGTCAATACTTGAGTGGAAATTTAGTACATTCACAATACTGTACAACCATCTCTATCTAGTTCCAAAACATTTCCAAGACAAAACTTCACCCTCTTCAAGCAGTTGTGCTCAATTCTTCATTCCCTGGGGCCTATAATATATCTCTATCTTTTTCTTTATGTATTTTTTATTTCAAATACTTCATATACATGAAATCAAACAATTTGTGACTAAAATATTACACTTAAAAAGACGTTTTCAAGTTTTATCTATACAGCATATGTCAGTCTTTCATAGGGTTTATGGCTATTCATAATATTTCTCTGTATGGATTTACGACACAGTTTGTTTATTGATGGTTACCTTGTGTTTTGGTCTGTTGCCTGTTGTGAAGAGTGCTTCTGTGACCGTGCATATACACCTGAGCATCTGTATTTGGTTGCTTTAGGTATGTTTCTAGCCATGGAATTGATGAGATATAGGTTTTCCAAAAGTACATTTATTCATATTATTGTAATTGAAAAATCACAGGAAACATTGTATGTTATATAAAATTATATAAAATACCAACTAACATTGTATATTCTGTGAACACTTTATGCATTTTTTGTTTTTAAAGATGTTGCTGAAACAACCATGTGACAACTAAATAGTCTATTGTCTATATATGCACTCAGTGTATACTTGTGTGTGTGTGTATTTTAAAGAGAGAAGTTCTCACTAGAATTGAAGTTTAGTTCTTGTAAAAGAGCACACGTAGGTACATACTTGATAAAATGAGACATCTAGTAGATAGAGGCTAGGAATGGAGTTGACCAGTTTAATTTTTCTGAAGAAAAGATAAATTGTTCTCTCAAGGATATGAAAAAGAGCCGGGCGGTGGTGACGCACGCCTTTAATCCCAGCACTCGGGAGGCAGAGGCAGGCGGATCTCTGTGAGTTCGAGGCCAGGCTGGACCAATAGCCTCCAAAACAATACAGAGAAACCCTGTCTCGTAAAACCAAAAAAAAAAAAAAAAAAAAAAAAGGATATGAAAAAGAGACAAAATAATGAAATCAACTAAGATCACCCTGGAATAAATTTAACAGCTAGCTCATTCTAAAATTAATACTGTGTTTTCAAAATCAAATTGTATCTGTCTCCTAATATCTGCCAACTCATTTACATTTTGGTTATTAATTGTGTTTCTCTGCTCAGGGACATTAGTGTGCCTGAAAGGAGACGAGCTCCATTCATGACAAATGACTCAACTTCTTTGTGGATCATTTTGACTTTTATTCATTTGTTATAGACCAACGGGCTCATAGAGAGGTGGGGCCTTGGTGACATTTCCTGTGAAGTTTTTGTTGACTTAAAGCAACATGCATCCTATGCCATCCGCTGTGTCATTCTTTCTTGGGGACTTTCTTCTACAAGAGTCATGGCCCTAGGATTTTACAAGATGCCGCTCTACCGAACCCTCCAAACTCTGCCTACAGACTTGGGGAAGAAGCGACTCCTGTTGAGTGTCTGTTAAGTGCTGTGTTTATGTGGTCTCCCTCAAGTCCTGACAACCAGCAATGTGTATCTGTGTGTTTGCCAACTTCTTGGTCTGGGCTCTGTCCACCATCTCAAGGCTGCTGCTGAGGTTTAGCCTCCTGTGCTGGTGGCTTGCCACACTGCGGCGGGGAAATGATGCTGAGCACGCCTCTGGGTTCAGCAGGAAGCAGGATGGGTTAACTTTGTGGGTTTCTTGAGGACAGAAGGGAGCAGGGGCAGGCACAGAACCTGCTGTATATTGGCCATACCTAAGGTGTATCATGTCACTTCTTTTTTACTATTTTTTATTTATAAAGATAGGGTTTTTCTGTATAGCCCTGGCTCTCCTGGAACTCGCTCTGGAGACCAGGTTGGTCTAGAACTCAGAGATCTGCCTGCCTTTGCCTCCTGAGTGCTGGGACTTAAAGGCATGCACCACCACTGTTTGGCTCTCATGGTACTGCTTTGAAAAGTTTCTGTTTCTGTCTTCTTAGAATACTCATTTCTTCCATAAACAGTGTACCCATGTTCATGGCTAGTTAATGCTGTTTCACAGACATTCTACTTCATTTTACTTACACCCTCTCTAGTTCATGCTGCCAGTATGTGGACGTCTATCATCAGAACATTTATTACTGTGTGTGCTGTGTTTGTTTCAGGCAGAGAAAGCTGACGGATTTGTCAACCTGCCAGATTTCACAGTGGAAAGAGCCTCCGAATGCAAGAAAAAACAGTGAGTCTTGTCTTTCCTTTTTCCTGCCCCCGAAAGCCCTGGGCCAGGATTGTAGCCATTTTCAATGTTCACATAGAAATGTGTTGATTTGGAAGTGGATGAAGGTACAATTCAAATGTCTGGGAATTTTGAACATTATGAGTTGACACTGTAAAATATGTGCTCATAGAAAATGTATATAGAAATGTTAACCTCTCATTTTCTGGCATGTCAACCCAGAGGGTGGATGGGTTTTAACTACCTTACCCCCTGTGCCCAATACACACGAAAGCAAAGGAATCAATGTCAAGGTTTTGACCTTGCAAAGAACAAATAGCTAAGCAGGGGTCACCAGACAGAGCTGTAGACCCTATAATAAGACCAGGTCATCTTGGTTCGTGCTATTATTAATACCAGCCTTGCCATTCAGTGCTCTGATGCATCTGGGGTGGGGTTGTACTCTGCTATAGAATAAGTGTGAACAGTGATGGGGTTGAAGTTGGCTCAATTCCATGGCTCTTGTTCTGCTAAGAAGAGAACAAGGAGGGCCTGGGAACAGCCAAGAGCTCTCTATAGAGAGCTGGGTATCTACTCTGGTCACATGATCATTTCAAGAGCGCATCCCACCGTGATTCTTTCTTCAGTGTTTTCTCCTTTATTACCGGAAAGGAGCATTTCTTCACTGATAAGCAATCAATTGTTTTCTTAGGAACCAGTGTTAGCTTTTATTCTTTGCTATACTGGTGTACTAGCTGTGTCTTGTTCTGCATTGCTTGTGTTGATGCTTGTGGCTTTTGACTGGTCATTAAACAAAACAACAACTGTGTCCTGTTCTTTGGAACTTCTGGTGTGACTGGGTGAGTGGAAACATTTTGCTTGCTATCACCCATGGGCCACAGATTTCCTTTAGCTAATGTTACTTGTACTTTCCCTTTACCAATACAGAGCCCCTTATCTCTATGGCTTCTGAAGAGTCATGTGGTGTAGAAGATGCATACCTAATTATTTTCATATAGCTAAAATTTTACTGTATATTGAATTTAAATAATGCCTTGCTTGAATGAATTGATCTAAATACTGTTCAGTGGCAATTTAGGGACTCTCAACTTGAATGTACTGTCTCTACACCTTTAAATAGTTAGCAGGTGAAAAAGATATATACATACACACACACACACACACACACATTTAAATGGAAACTACTGAGTGGCTAAGATGCAGTTCTGACATGATAAATTGACTCTCACTTCACTAAGTGAACTAGGGACTAGATAATAGGTATTTAACATAATTACTTTAAAAACACTAACACATGTGCTTTTCTCCTTTCTAGTGCATTCAAGATCAACCACCCACAGATCAAAGCCTTCTACTTTGCAGCAGAGAATTTGCAGGAAATGAACATGTAAGTAGAGGAGACTGCTGCATCCAGTCCCTAAAAGAATCCGCTTACTTCGGACAGGCATCAGAATTTTAAAGCCAACAACCATGTCAGCTATTGTCCTATTTATTTCTGCTATTTAAGTTTGTTCCGTTAATTCCCCTAGCAACTATAAGACCATCTTGCTTTCTCCTCTAGCACGCGTAGTCATTTGGGGACATGCACCTATCTAAAGGCTGTTTTAGGGCGTAGTTGTAAGAGTCTTCTGCAGGAGCCACTCAGGAGAGAGTAGACAGAAGGTGTGGTGATGCGGGACATTTGCATCACAAGGAGAAGGGCCCAAAGGAGTTGAGGAACCAGTCTCCCAGCTTCCCACCTGCAGCTTCTAGATGAGCTGTGTAACTATCTAAAGGCTCATGGACTTATCGCCTGTTTCTCCGAGTATCATCCGAACATTTATTTCTAGTGCACCCGGCTTTAAAAATATCCTAGCTCTGTTTCCAGCTTGCTCTGTTAAGACAATGCACTCAATTCCCAATTCCCTCCTGGTTTAGATGAAGATGCATTGCATCAGCTGTAATTTGGCTGAAGTGGCCTGTGAGGGGCTGCCTTGAGGCAACAGAGACACCCTCTTAAAACGACTGTTATTGATGTCTTCAAGACCACCACATAATAATTTAATGCTTGCAGAGCATCTATAGTATACCCCATTGCCAAGGGGGTACACTCCCCCACCCCCACAATTCCTCCATTCATAGAGTTTATACTGAAACACTGCTGTCTATTGCATATGAGAATTTCATTGCTTATCTTCCATACATGATCTTTGCCTTATTGTTTCACAAAATGAAATAAAGTAGAAGCTGTCTTCCACCATACACCTCCAACCCCCTTCAGGTCACCTCTTCTACAGCACTGTCTGTCTAGGAGCCTTCTTATTTGTTATGCCCACTTAGCTTACCCTCACCTCATCTCTGTAGATGAGGACAAATCGCTCGCAGGAAGTTGGGAAACCATGGGTTCGTTATAGAGAAGGAATTGATAACAGTGTCTTTGAAACATGCCTTTGACAAACAAAGAAAGTGTCTGTTTCTACACTCTCTATTATTGTAGCTTTTGTTCCTCCCTTGCCTTTCTTAACTATCTGAGGGGGAAGAAAAACAGACACATCAAGAAAGGGCGCATATTCTTCAAATACAATCACTCATCTCCGATGGCGCTGATGACTCAGTCCAGCTGATTTGCAGTCCCATGCTCTGCAAGTGTCCAGAAGAGGGTAGTTCTCTCACCTAGGGGTACTTACAAACCAGAGATGGTGACTGCCAGTCTGCAGCTGAGTCACTCCTGAGGTTCACAGGGCTGCCTCTGGCTTGCATTGGCAGGGAGACAGGGCTGCCCACCATCCCACCCGATAGCTTCTCTAACAGCACCCTGGGCATCATGCATCTTTAGCTTTACCCCGTTACCATCTTTCGCACCCACCTTGGGGTTGGTCCTTTCAAAACAGTTTTCATCTTCTCAACAAGGGCTGAGTGAAAGAAAGCATTCCAGAGAAATAGTTCTGAGTGCATTGCTACCTAGCGAGTGTCTCTTACACAGAACAATCCATTTTCAAATAAGAGGAGGTCAGACTCTTGTGAGATTATTGGAATCCATTGTACTTCAGACACTCTAAGTCACACATCAAGGCTATTTAGCTCCCTGTCCCTGGCTGCCACCAGCTCAGCCTTTGTTTCCATCTTCACTCTTTATTGGATTTCTATCCATGTGCAGTTCCTATTTAATGGCAAGTCTAGTATGAGTTCTAGCTGTAGATATCTTTTCCATTGTTGGCTAGTAACTCAACACCTGTCACCACAATCAAGGTTAAATCTTATTGCCAGTGTTTACTGTGAAGAGCATTAACTGGCTTGAAATTCTGTTAGTGTGTCCTTTTCCAACCCACAAACAAGCTATAAATAGAAATCTGAATTCTGGGTGGCCTGGGATCTGATTTTGAATCTCTCCAGTTACCTTTATATTTAAAAAAATTTTTTTTTGGTTTTTCGAGACAAGGTTTCTCTGTATTGCTTTGGAGGTTGTCCTGGAACTCCCTCTGTAGAGCAGGCTGGCCTTGAAGTCACAGAGATCTGCCACTTAAATTTATACTTTAAAGGATGATTTTAATCATAGTCCTTAAATTGCTCGCTTCTTGACTCAGGGCTGCATGACCCATCTACCTGTGCCTGGACACATGATGATTTCTTATATTTGTAATACCGTTGACCTAGTCTCATTTCTGCTTCTGTCATAAAATGTCCTGACAGAAAGCAGCTTAAGGAGGAAATGGTTTACTGTACTTACAGTTCTAGGTTCCAGTCTATTGTTGTTGGGAAGTCACAGCGGGAACTTCAAGCATCCTATCCACAATGAGGAGCAGAGACAGCAAGTGCCTGGGTCCTTGCTTCCTTGCTGTCTTTTGCTTAGCTCATTTTCCTCATTCCTACACGGTTCAGGACCCCAGCCAAGGGAGTGGTGCTTCCCACAGTGGGCAGGGTCTTCCTACATCAGTAACAATCAAGACAATGCTCCAGAGACATGCCCATGGGCCAACCTGATGTAGGCAGTGCCTTCACTGAGATGCTCTGTTCTGGTGACTCTAAGCTGTGCCAACCTCACAAAGTTAATGGTCACGATTCCTGAGTTTTCTTATTATTAAGACAATTCTTCCAAGAGCCAACAAGGGAGAACCTCTCTGGACTACCAAACTTGTCCTTTCTCTTACAAGATTATGCAGATGGTTTTTTATCAGTGGCCCCTGAAGCTTCCTTTTTCTCTTGGTGGAGCCTGTTGAAACTAGTCAATAATGAATCTAGGAGTGACTTATGGGAGGGGCTGACAGGAGGGAGGAGCAATCTTTTCAGTTGTCAGTCATTCACCTCTTTGGCTAACTATATTTTTTGGGGGGGTGACATTTCTCTCAAGGGTGATAAGCAGAGAAGTCAGTTTAGTAGAAATCTCTCATACTTTGCGATGACTCTCAATTTCCAGATGTAGGAGTAAGTTGTCACGAGTAATGGAAAGGTCAATTCTAAGCAAAGATGTGGGCTTGCTGCCTGTCTCAGGTAGTGTTTGCAGGAAGAAAGCTCTTATTTGGGCCTCCACATTCTCACGCGTGTATTCATCCAACACACACATTCCCAACAAGTTAGTATACACTAGACTCTCAGGAAATACCTGCTATCTTTCATGCCAATGTAAAGTCTCTTGTGTATACATGCATTTATCCAGAAATGGAGACTATTGGGTACTCCACGAGGTTTACAGAAGGTTCTTAATGGAGGAGGAGCTCTAAGTAGAAGTCTAAACCATTATTAGATTATCACAGCTAGTAATTCACAGTGGCAAGGAAAGGACTTGGGTTTTGGGGAGGGGTGGAGTTTCTATTTTGATGTATGTTCATACTCTGGAATGGAGTTTAGAAACACCTTTGCTTGTTTCAGTTACTCTCAACTCAAACTCTTCATTGTCTTTTCATTTTTTTGATATTTTACCTTTATATTCTCTTAGTTTATGGGGAGGGAAGGACCAGCTTTATATAATTATAAAATCAGATATAAACTGAAAACTGTTAGTCCTTTTAAAGCGAACCATGATGTATATTGTGTTTTATCTTATTTTTAAAATGTGCTTAAGATTTTTGTGTGTTTTTGTAGCATACATGTCTGAATGTGTGTGCACATATGCATGCAGATGTTCATGTATGTTTCTGTGTATGGAGGCCAGAGGTCAACCATGGGTGCCTTCCTCTGTTGTTTGAGGAATATTGTTTGAGACATTATTCCTCACTGAACATGGAGCTCATCACTTTGGCTGAACTAGCTAGCCAGAGGGATTCATGGATCTGTCTGTCTCTGCCCACTGCCCCAATGCTGGGGCTACAGGCAAGTGCCACTGTCCACCTCATTATGTGGGGGCTGGGAACCCAAAACCAGGTCCTCATGATTGTATGGCAAGATCTCTACCTATGGAACCATCTCCCCAGTTTCCTACTATGTACTTTAAATTTTAGTTAGGCAATGTATTCAGCATCATGTAAAAATTAAATGACACAAACATAGAAAACACATGAGATTTCTGACATTCACCTTCTATTTAGCTTCTCCCTAGGGGTTATCCACGTTTGACAATGTGACGCTTCTCTTTCCTCACACTGTGTGCACTAGTTCATGCACAGGTATGAATGTATCTACCAGTTCATTACATACATGAGAATTTATCGTATATAGGACAGGCAAAACTTATGGCTTTCGACTTGTTTTCAACTAACAGTACTTTTTTTCCTGAGTCATTACAAATTCACTTGTGAGTATTTTTTTTATTAGTTTCATGATAACATTGTATTCATATAATCTAGATTGTTATATATCTGATATCTTGTTAATGGACAATTATTAACTCAGGGAATTTTTTCTACTGTTACAAGCCTTGTTGACAACATCTTTCTACATGAAGGTATGTTTCTTTCAAAATAGATATTAACAATTACAATTATTGAACAAAGAATATTTTTTTCTTTTTCTGAAATCAATTGACATTATTAAATGGCTTTATGGGTAAAATAGCTTCCCAGACAAGCCTGATGGCCTGAGTTCAACACCTGGAACCCACTTACAGGCACAAAGAGAGAAATGACTCCCCAAAGTTGTCTCCTGGCCTCCAAATACATAGTGCATGTGTATAAATGATAATACATGTTAAAATCGATAGAGATATAGCTTTGATGGTCAAATAAGTGAATTTGATGACCAGTGGTTTGATGGTGGCTGAAGATTTAAAACATATAGTTACTAAAGAAGACACATTTGTTCATAGTTAAAATATCTTATTTAGCTTTCTGCTTTAACCACAGGATAATGTTTCACCCTGCTCCCCTTACAACCTAGACTCCTGGAAAGCCAAGTATTGTGAAGCCAGAAATCTTAGGTCTCCATGCTTCAAACTCACGAAGCTTTAGGAGACATTCAGGCTAAGTGTAGAATAAGGAGTGAATTTCACTGTAAAGTCCGATGCAGGAAGCAGCTTCAGGGTCTAAGGGGAAGAGTGAGTGGATGAGGAGACGGGCTGTTTGGTCAAACACTTACTTCCCATTTGAATCGTAGGTGGTTAAACAAACTTGGATTTGCAGTCATCCACCAGGAGTCCACTACAAAGGATGAAGGTATGTTCTGTTTTACATTTCTGAAATTTTAGCAAGTATATTAGGACAGAATGAGTCAGGATGAAGAAAGGGACAATTCCAGTTCTATGCATAGGCTGACCCTGGGGAAGCATAGTTTGACATTTGAAATGATCTAAAAGGTGCAGACAGCCATTGTCACACAGACTCAGCATGGAACCGAGCCTCCCTGCCAACTCGAATAGATTTCACACTTCACCCACACTGGAGCAGCTGCAGGCTTCTCTGATACTCAGACAATTGCCAATGCAAATGCTTTAGTGCCCTCCTTACAGAGCGCTTACTCACGGACCTGAATGTGTCATGATCTAGTCAGATCACTTGCATCCCACCATTTCCTCTGACAGTTTAACCTTTCTGACGGGTGTGTGTTGACATTAATGACTTTGAAATTGTTCTTGCAACCTGAAGATCAGGCTGGAGACACACCATGTTTGGGCCTCACGAGTCTACATCTTCGTAATATTATTAGCCTTCAGTGTAGGGAACAGAGGGGCTGTAGACACCAGGGTCACTGACATGTACTGGTGCTGAAACACACAGATCACGGGACAGTCAGGCATCGTAAGGAGAAAGTTATGTGTTTGATTATGATGAAATCTGAAGTTTAGAAATGGAAAAGTGGCAAATGTGAACCAATGAGGGAATTCATTACAATGCTGTGAAGCTAACATCTAACTACCATGTTGGTTCTCTTTGACGTAAGGTAAGCTTCCATTGGTTATCAACTGGGGAAGAGAGACCTGCATATAAGGACTTATCATGGTGTTTAAGACCTTTTGCGATGTTGCCTCTATACCTCTAAAGCTTCATCTTCCAGGATCGCCCTCGGGGATCTCCATTTTTGTGGCTCGGCCCATTTGCTCAGCCTGGCCCTCCTCTCGCTGTTTTGGGGATACCAATCATGGCTGAGTTATCAGTCACTCAGCTCTCATCTACACCGCAGATGGTGTTATAATGACTCACGTATTTTAAATGAATTCTTTTATTTATTTATTTTTCTGAGTCACAGTAGCCTCCATCTTGCATACTAGATGCTGTCTGACAACAGAAACTGCCATGGGGGTGGGACACTTGTTTCTCCCATTCTTGAGTTGCTTTTTATCAGGTCATGCTGTCGATTTCTTTCTTTCTTTCTTTCTTTCTTTCTTTCTTTCTTTCTTTCTTTCTTTCTTTTTTTTGGATGCTTTCTTTTTGAATTAGATTGAAATAGTAATAGGCAGATGGAGAAAAACCTTTGCTCATACATTATGGAATGAGTGATGAGAGCCTTGAAACCTGAAGCATCTTTTTTTTCTTCCGGTTACAGAATGTTACAGTGAGAGTGAGCAGGAAGACCCTGAAGTAGCCTCGGAGACACCTCCCCCTCCATATGCTTCCGCAACTTCCTCTCCTGTGGTACGCGTAGATGTGAGTAGCCTGTTGGTCACTGATCCAATGTGTGGATGTCACTCCTTCCAGTTATACAGAGACTACCATGGCCAATAAATGTTTAGAATCGACCAACTTAAGGTGCCTTCCAGAGAGCAAGTCAAGTTCTCAGGGTGCTGATGTAGAGCCTTCTCCATAGCAACCCACAGGGATGACAATCTTGATGTATGTTTTCATGACCCACAGATGGTCTGCATCACAGTCAGAGGATGTACGGAGATGCAAAGGCCGCCCGCAGAGGCTGATTTTGCAGTGCGTATTATGCCCTACTTATTTTCAGAAGGACTGTCAGGTGCCTTGCCTAGGAGCCTGTGATCCAACCATGCAAAATGAATTTAAAAGTGATATGAGAAACAGAGCATAAAAAGAGAAATAGAGACAGCAGCCTGGGTCCTCTCATTAAGATTGCATATGGGCTGGTGTGGTGTGTTCCCAAAGGAGGGTCCAAGTTGTATGCTGAGCTTTGGAAGTTCAGGCGGTCATGGATGCCAAGGCTTTGGAGAATTGCTTCATGTTTGGATATATATGGTCCCTAGCAAGGGGCATACTGGGCTCATTGAGGATATAATTTTTTAAAAATTTAAATTAATTAACAGGCCATTATTATTATTATTATTATTATTATTATTTTGTGTATGTCTTTGAAACTCATGACCTCCTGCATGCTAATATATGCTTTATATCTGACCCACACAAACAGCCGGATTTCAGCTTTTAGGTCTATCTTGTCCCAGGTGCTTTAAATCACTTACTCTTCAAGCAGCCCAGAGAAACAGTAGTGTTTTATTTCCCCTCTGTGGATCACGTGAGGCCAATCCCCTTTCTATGCTTAGAGCCATTTGTATTTCCTCTTTGTATTTCCTGCCTCCCCTCCCTGGTCCTCCTGCTCGTTCTTGTTGATTGACAGGCTCTCCCGGTTTGTCCCTCTCTGTATCTGAAATAACACGGATTTGTCAGGCATACTTGTCAGCTAAAAGTGAGCCATTCTCACTTTTCATTCTTTTCAACGCTTTCATGGCTTCTTTTTATAAATGGCTGTTTGTGAGTTTAATAGCTCAGATTTACCCAGCCTTTTTTTTTAATTGAACTTAGTGTCAATTTTATTTTCTGGTTTTGAAAATTGCTTCCTTTCCCAAGACCATGAGGAGGTTGATCTTACTGTCCTCATTTCCGGACAGAGAAAACCTTTTTGGAACTGTACCATGATATTTGCCCAACCACAGACCTCAAGTCCAGCATTCTATGTTCGAATGTTCAAACTTAAAGATATGAAGGGAGTCTCCTAAGACCTAAAAATTAGATTATCAAACTTGAATGATTCTCTATATTTTTCCAAGTCGTTAATCAAATGTTGTTTGTTTTTTTAGGGCAGAGTCTCATGTGGCCCAAGCTGGCCTTGAATTTGCAATATATCCAAAGATGATTTTGCATTTCTTATCTTCATTCACTCCCTCCCATTACGATTACTGCAATTATAGGCATACACCACCATACTTGGTTTTTATGTAGTGCTGGGGACTGAACCCATGACAAGTACACTACCAACTAAGCTGACTACCCAGCCCTGAAATGTTGCTTCTTAAGTTGTACGTCAGCTGGTGGTGGAAATGCACGGCTCTAATCCCAGCACTTGGGAGGCAGAGGTGGGAGTTTGAGGAGGACAGTCTGGTCTACAGAACTAGTACCAGGTCAGCCAGGGTTGCATAGAGAAACCCTGTCTCAAAACAAAACAAAACAAAAAACAACAACAAAAAAAACCAAACAAACAAAATGTTGCAAGCGGATGACTTAAAACAGACATTTTCTAAAGTATTATAAGATAAATTGTCAGACAAATGTCTTGGCAGTGTTTTATCAACGTAATACAAGCTACTGTTATCTCATGGAGTATCTGCAAATTAGGAACACACGAACATCAGACAGCCTGTAGGCAATCCGGTGGGGGCATTTTGTTGATTGATGTGGGAGGGCCCAGCTCACTGTGGGTGGCACCATCCCTAGGCAGGTGGCATAGTAAAGCAGACTGAGCAAGCCACTGAGAGCAAGCCAGGAAGCAGTGTTCCTTTGTGGCCTCTGGTTCAGTTTCTGCTTCTAGGTTCCTGCTTTGAGTCTCTGACTTGGCTTACCCTGATGATGGGCTGTGACCGGTAAGACCAGCAAACCACCCCCAAGTTGTTTTTGGTCATGGTGGTTATTACAGCAACAAAAAGCAAATGTTGAACAGTTAGAATTTTTTCTCCTAGTAATAGAATATGTTCCTTCTGCTCACATATTTCCTGGGCAGATTTTGTTTTTGTTTTCTCTTGTTTCTGGAAAAAAAACAAACCAGACATGTAAGACACTTGGTTAAAATAGCATTAGGCATACTATTTAAACAGATGAAGTAAAAGAAAAAAATCTGGGTAACTTTAACCTGGGCATGAATCAAGTTAGTGTTTCACTCAATGTGATATAGGCTAGCCACGAATCAGATACACAAGCCTAGGGTGAAAATAATTTTTTCCAAGTTTTCTCAGTTGGGCAATGACTTTATCTCTTGAAGCAGAACCCAACAGAATAAAATAACATTGTTCTGGAAAGTTGTCCTTGTCTCAACAACTTGCCAGGTTTGGAGTAAGTATTTCAGTGTCTATGCTTGCTTAAATATAGAAAGTAGATGTTATCTTCATCTCCAGTGCCCTAGAGTTTGGACTTGTGCTTCTAGTGGGCTGAATCACAAGGGGTTGAACTCCACAAGAGATCGTAGTATAGGATCTGGAATGAGTGAAGACAAGTTTCCAATTCTGTTCTTTCAAACTGAAAAGGCCTCATGGGAATTACAGTGGAGGGCATTCACTTTCCCCTCTGTGTGTCCCTGTGTGGGGCATGCGGGTATACATGCTAAGGCCCAGCTCAGGTGTCATTCTTCAGTAACTGACCTCAGCATTCCTCATGGGAACCTAGGACTCTCTGGTACCCTAGGGTGGCTAGCCAGGAAGCTCCAGAGGGTCCCCCAGAGCTGCTGAGGCATGCCCTTGCCTGCTGCTGTGCTCTGCATTCTATTGGGGGGGTCTCAATTTCTGAATTTAGATCCTCGAGTTTGAAATACAAGCACATTGTTCATTGAACCATCTCGGCAGCCCCAACATGACCCGATTCTTAAGGAAATGTTAGTTCTGTTTTCCGAGGCTTATTAAAAAAGGTTTAAAAATAGAAGGCGGTTCTGTACATTTCATTTAGAAAGATAATTTGTAGATCTCATTGTTTGTTCGGATTTCTTTAATTTCTCAAAGAGAACAAAAGGAACCAACTTGTCAAGTCTTAGAGTATCAGTTACTAAGTGTGTTAAGAGCTGTTAATAGCACTAAAGTTTTCACCATGTATTTTTTTCCAAGCTTAATTTTAAACGCATGGTCTGATAACCTGGTCTGTTATGCCGATTTACTTAAATTGTGAACCCTCTTCTCAGAACTTGGGATCCATCAGTGAATGGTTCATGTTCTTTGTGGGATGAAACTTCCTGTTCAAAGAAATAAATGCAGATGACCATCCTCGGTGGAAGATCTAGTACTGTAGAAGTAGAGAAGGATGGATGAGGAGACCAGGGGAGATGGGACTAGAGAGTGGGCTGTGGCAGCCGACAGGTGTGCAGGGTCAGAATGGTCCCACACAGCGTAGATCTGAGCACAGGTCTGTAGAGATACTTCGAGTCAGCTGGGTGACCCATTGAGAAGGAGTTTCACACCACAGAAAACAGAGTCGAGGTCTCTCATCAGTGAGAAGTGATGCCAAGATGTCACCGGAGCAGGAGCACCTGAGTCTGGATGAGACAGATAGGATGTAAAGTCAGGGTAACGGTAATGGTTGCCATCCTACATGGGGCTTGTGAGCCGGTTAAGGTTTTTCATGCTCTGTTCCGAGTGATTCAGGGGACACTTGGGAGATAGAAGCAGAAGGCTTGTGAAGTCAGTTTTGAACTTAAGAGGAGACCCAGGCTGGTATATGGGAGTCACCTAGTGCATCAGTGAGAAGCACATTTTCACAGAAGGCAGGACAGAGTACATTGTTCTGTGGTGTGAGGCGGTGGTGGGCTTTCCTGGACGGCACTCAGGCGGTTGAGGAGGTGAGGTGAGCAGGACTTGAGTGCACTTGGAATGTAGACACCCAGAGTTGGATCAGATATGAAGAGGGGCATAAATATGTATAGCCCCAGCTTCAGGCAGCTCAGCTAATAATTCAGATTATTTTAATAGAATGATCCAGTCCTCATACTTCGATGATTCAGAAGAATAATTCCTTTTTGTCCCTGAGAATGTTGAAACAAGCCATCTAAAGCAAACCAAAGCAGCAGGAAGTAAAAATAAGCTCTGAAAAGAGGCACGCTGGCCAGGGTTAGAGGAGGAAGTCAAAGCTGAACAAACACGGGTAGGATAATTTTAGAAATACTGAGTTCATTCTAACAGGCTAAGTCTTCAATAGCTGTCTACCAAATGTCACTCAGCCAATCAATATCCGCTATACTGAATGGTACAGATGTTTGCAAGTGAGTCATTATAGGGAGACTTACCAGCAAATATAGTTTATAATTCCAAACCTAGAATATATATGTACATGCAAGAAGTAGGGATAAGGAAAATCACCTTTCTACTCAGGATATGAAAAATAATCATAGGCTCTGTGTTTGGAAATTGAACTGATTTTCAAACTTCACTATTCCTTGGTGTTATGTATTTTTGTCCCTTGCTTTAACAGTTCCTTTCCACAGCCCGCCAGCATGGCGGCTGTCCCGCCACCCCTTCCTGCCTTCTGCTTCCACAGACCAACTCCAACCCCCTCATTAGCTCCTGCCTGAGTCATTGCAACAACAGGCTCTTCCTTTCCCTGCGTCTAGTCTATCTTTTCCTTAAAATGACCCTCAAAAATGCTTTTTAATAACACTGATTTGCCTAGAACTCACCATGCATACCAGGTTAGCCTTGAACTCCCAGAGCTCTGCCTACCTCTACCTCCCAAGTGCTAAGATTAAAGACATGCGACACCACGCCTGGCCCTACTCTTTGGCCTTTTACTCCACTGAGATTTCACATTTGTTGCTACATTCTTGTCACTAGTCCCTCCTTTGTCATCAGCGGAAAAAATGCCTGCTCTGCCCTGAGTCTTCCAAGCTTGCCTTCTGCATCTGCAGGGAGAAAGCTTCTTAGCTCTTGGGAAGTTTGGTTCCGATGCCACCACAATTCCACAGTCAATGGAATCTTTTAGTCTGCTTCAAGCAGCTCTTCCCTGCCATCCAAGCCATGACAAATTTGCTCTTTTAGGTTTTTTTTCTATTAATCCTTATAGTTGGCATTCATAGTAATGGGTTTCATTGTGCTGTTTTCATATACGTATGTCATTCTGCTTTGTTCTTATTCTGAATTCTCTCTGTGATTCTGGAACACTTTTTAAAAAATGCCTTTTCATACTGTTACTATAATTGACCTTGTACTTGGGGCTGTATGTGTCTGTGTTATTTATATAGTTACCACATTCATTTAAACATGTTTACAGTTTTATGTGTATGTATGTATGTCTGAGTGTATATATGTATGGCACATGCATGAAGCAGCCTATGGAGGTCAAGTGGGTTCCAGGAACCAAACCTGGACCTTCTGTAAGAGTAATAAACACTCCTAATCTCTGAGCCATCTCTCTAGACCCTAGTTACCAAATTATTAGAGTCAGAGGCCATGTCCAATTGTGTGTGTGTGTGTGTGTGTGTGTGCGTGTGTGCGTGTGTGTGTATGTGTGTATGTATGTGTGTGTGGTGTGTGTGTGTATGTGTGTGTGTATGTATGTGTGTGTGGTGTGTGTGTATGTATGTGTGTGTGTGTGTATGTGTGTGTGTATGTGTGTGTGTATGTGTGTGTGTATGTGTGTGTGTATGTGTGTGTGTGTATGTATGTGTGTGTGGTGTGTGTGTATGTGTGTGTGTGTATGTGTGTGTGTGTGTGTGTGTGTGTGTACTTACTCCCACAGAGACATAGATGAATGTAATAAGTAAAAGCTGCAGTCATTAATATGACATTAATATGACTCCAGCTTCCTTACTGAAAATATTTAAAACTCAAACATCCAGAAATGAACTAAATCATATGTTGCCAACAATTCCCTCACTAAAGGAAGCCATGTTGATTGAGATTATAAATGCTCTGTGGATCTATCTTCTGTAGTAATTCCTCTCTATTCTGAAGTTAGCAATTCTATCCAGGAAGTTGATGGAACTCTGAGGTCCTCAGTAAGAGATCAACTACTGTGCTGAGATTCTCTTCACAGAGCTGGTCCTCCGACCCATTCTTTCCCGGCAGTGATGTATTGTCAACTGTGTGTTGGGCACGGATGCAAGAAAAAAAAATGGAAGTGTAAAAATGACTAAAAACAGTCTGTTCTCAAGTAGCTCACCAAAAAAGACTTAGCAATCAATCAGCATTAGCAATATAAGTTGTCAAATAAAATGGTGTTCCTCTGGTTTGGGAGAAGAAGGCATCAGGCATCGTGACTTCACACCCTGGCGCTATTGGGGAGACTTCTCACTGAACCAGGCATGTGAGCTGGCTCTGGGGGAGAGAGGCTTTAGTCAGACAGAGATGGGGAGGAGAGAAGGGACCTAGGCCTTGCTGCCTTCATTTCCTCTGCTGCTTTGTGAGTATATGATATAGATGGTTCACAGAAGGCTAGGATGCCATGCCCAGTGTTGCCTACTGAGAGCTACAGAATATTAGAAATAATAAGCCTTGTTTTTGGTACTGTGTTGCTTACAAAAAGTAGTCCCAGATGTGGGTCTTTTGAAATGAACTCCATGTCCAATTCGTTCCAAATCTCCCACTTTCTGGTTCATTGGCCTCCAACACCTAACACACATAATTTTCCCCTTCTCATTTTGTTTTCCACCTTCCCTAATTCTTTTCATTTTTTCTTTCTGTTTCATTATCCACTCCTGTTTTCTTTTTATTTTAAAATAAAATCTAGGGCAGGGGAGATGGCTCTGTTGATAGAGGGCTTGGTTTGTAAGCATGAGGGCCTGAGTCTGATTCTCAGAATCTATTTAAAAATCCTGGTGTGGCGATGTGCTTCTCTGTAACAAAGAGAAGCTGACCAAACAGAAAGCGAGATTGACAAAATAGCTCACAATGGGAGAACGTGCCAGGACTGGAGCAACATGCGTGCTTTTTGGTTAACAGTTATTTTGTAGATCTATCTTATGAGTAAAATATACCTGCTTTTATTTGGATAGTGTGGGGCCCTGTATGTTCCTCTCCTGGAGAAGCAGGATTTATAGATTTTGGATCTCTTAGTTGCTAATTGGTCTAGGTGGCTTAAGATGGCCAACTGTCAAACTATTTGACACTTGGCCAAATGAAACATTTTCATGCCTGTGTTCATTTAATATCTTGTGATATGAAATTTCATATCTTATATCTAGGCATTTTAGTGTCATGTTAATATTCAAAGTAGGTTTATTTCTGGACTGAAAAGTTGGATCAGTGGTTAACATGTTTGCTGTGAAAACATGAAGACATGGATAGTTGTGGTGGCTTGCTTGTAGTTCTAGCTTTAGAAGATGGAGACTAGCCATATCATTGAGCTAGGGGATTGATTGAGAGACACTGTCTTAATGATTAAGGTGGAAAAGTGATTGAAGACAATTCCCAACATCATCCCCAGGCTTCCAGGAATACATGTGGAAATACACATTACACTCATGTACAACACATACCTATGAAAATGGGGCACAGGAGATTTATTGAACATTTGGTAGTCTATTTTCACTGAGCACTGAAGAAGATACATATTAGTAACAGTTTTCCCATTAAATGCTCAGAGCACAGGGCCTTTAAAATTCACAGAAATTTACTGAATTTGAACATAGGCAAGCATTCTGACTTGGTTGCCATGTTTCTGAGACTTTGAAGAGGATCCAAATGTTTTCTTCAGTTTTGTATTTTTAATAATCTCCATCATGCCACTTCTCTGATAGGATCATCTAATAGGATGATGACATGAAACTGAACCATAAACTCCCTTCTCGGTCTTATGCCATAGTAGATACAAAGTAACCCAGAGAACAATGAGTCTAGATATTTTCATTTTATTGATGAATCATGTTAAAAATGGAAGAAATTGCCAGATCTTTTTCCTGGTCTGGATGGATTGCATTAAAAAAGTAAACTCCCTTGAAACAACTGCTTTTATACTACCATTTGTCCAAATTCTCAAAATATTGCAACATTAAAATGGAACACATATAAAATCTCAGCATAAATGGTGTCTGTGTCAAGAGATTGTCCTTATTGGTGCTGTGGCCTAGGTACTATGTCTGTGGATTGATGCAATGTCCTTCAGGGCGGTCATTTGCCCTTGGAGGGCATGCTAGGAATCTGAAGAAGGATGCTGAAGCAACCTGCCTATCACCATCAGTGGGGCAGCCTTGGCTTCTCTCTCATGAATGCAGAGGCTATAAATATGTTCTTGTCTCACTAAGTGAAACTATACTAAAATTTTTAAGTGATTGGGCCTGGCAAGACAGTGCCTGCCATAGGTAATGATGCTTGCTGTTAAGCCTGATGATCTGAGCTCAATACAAGGAACCCACATAGTGGAAGGGAAAATGGATTCCTCTGACCTCTAACGCATGCTGTGGTATCTGAACTCCCTCCTCCTAGTCACAAAGTGATAACATGAAAAACTGTAGCTGAAACTTTTTATGTGATTTATGTTTGGCATTTTTTAACCTAGATAGTTACGGATGGATATTTGGCCATGTGCTAAGGAATACATAAATGTTGCTCAATGGTCTCGCACCTGCTAGAAAGTATTCTTCTACTGGGCCACACCCCAAACCTCTGCTTTCCTTCTATAAGTTACCTTCCTCAGTTTTTGCTCATTTTATTGTGAATGGCAAGTTATCATTGTACCCACAAGCATTATAAAAAATTGTTGTAAGAGAGTCTTTGAATTGTTGGAGAGGCTTAAAATTTTTGATATGGAGATTTTTCAGATGTCATGTGGTGAACTGAAAATGACACTAGTCAGTTCTAGAGACTGGTCCCTGGTGGCTGCCACACAATAACAAGTGTCATATGTTTATCCTTTGACTTTTTCTATTTCTGGTCACTTTTTCAAGTATTTCTGGGGGAATTTTAATAAAAGCAAAATGAAGAGAATGATAATTTAATCACAATGTCTCTCTTCCTCTTCCTCTTCCTCCTGATTCCACTTGTGGAAAATAGGCTGCACGGAGGGCGTCGTCTTCCTCCCCTAAACTGAGGGACTCATCGTGCTCTTTCTCCTCCCTGGAAAGTGCAGTAAAGGCACCCCGCCCGTTTTCTTCCTCGGGATCTAAGGAAAGACAGTCCTGGCTCGACATAGTTAACAGTGCGCCTGCTGCTGAAGATGTGGGGCACCCCCTGGCACTTACTGTACAGGTCCATACACCTGCATCCTCAGAGGCAAGCAATTGCCCGGTCCCAGAAAACAGCTCCATCACTTCAGAAAGTGGATTTTTGAACTCTTTATCTAGCGATGACACTTCTTCATTGAGCAACAATCAAGACCACCTGACAGTTCCAGACAGAGCTGCTGGACCAAGGACGGTGGACAGAGGTAACCTAGGAAACTGCTTGCTCTTCTTTAGATGGTGAATGTTTGTGGGAGTATTATAGACCTCTGATATAAATTGTAACTAAAATGTATAAACCCATGAATGGCAATTTGATTAGTCACATGGGGTTTAGCTTCTAACTCCTTTTGTAGAGTTTGCCTATGGTAGCTCCTCTTGTCTTGGCACTAGTTATTGCCTGTTGTAAATGTCAATAGCCAAAAGCTTCAACCAGTGGTTTTCAACCTTCCAAATGCTTACATTTTGGTTCCATAGTCTATGCTCTGGGGGTTTGTGGTAATTAAGACCCAGGGATTGGTGAGATGGATTTATATCACTTGGATGTTGTCAAATGGGTTTAGAGCAGCCATTGTAGAGAGCCAATCAGTGGTCTCCTAAGGGGATCTGCGTGGTTAATGGAAGGCAAAACTTCAAATGCAGTTTGGAGGGCAGCACCTCTGTAAAGAGAAACCTTTTCCTTGAGAGAAGCCTTCCCGCCAGCCTGGTTCTAGAGCCGCATCAGTCCCAAATAAACACACAGGAGGCTATATTAATTATGAAGCTGTTGGCCTTGCTTGTTTCTTACTGGCTAGCTCTGACTTAAGTAATTAACCCATAATTGTTACTCTAAGTATGTTTCTTACCGGAGAATAGTTCCGGGCTTCCTACCCCATGGCGTTACATGTTGACTCTCCTGTGTTTCTCCTTCCCAGAGTCCTCCTGGACTCCTAGTCCCACCTCTCTTGGTTCCCTATAGGCCAGCAGTGCTTTATTGACAAATGCACAGGACTTCCCCCAACAAGCACCTTTACTATAGAAGAGGCAACTTCTTAGATTCCTGGAAAACAGTTTGCTCTTAACCGAGGAAACGGTTGTGTATAGATATCAGTAATATCAGACATATTCTATGATAATCATCATATTTGATTTAGAACAGACTTGGCTCTATTATTGTCCATTCATGACAAGTATTTTCTGACTGTGCCTCATTTGTTCTGCTGCAAACAAGGTTATCTGATATGGCAGTGAGCCACTGGAGAATGGTGGATTTGCACTGTAAGTGTTCAGTGTGCTGCTGAAAGTGGGCTTGCCAAATTCCTGTGCTAGCTTGCAGGAGTTGCCCAATGACATGAATGATGACTCTTTCCCCCCTACCCTAAGCAGGGAGGCTGTCCTTAAGTTCTTGAGTTTCAGGGCTAGAGAGATGGCCCAGTACTTGCTGTTCTTTTGTAGGACCAGGGTTTAGTTCCGTTCCTAGCACCCACATTGGGTGACTTACAATCACTTGTATCACTTGTACCTCCAGCCAGGGGGATCTTATATCCTACACACACACACACACACACACACACACACACACACACACACAGAGAGAGAGAGAGAGAGAGAGGCATACACATACACACATGGATAATAATGTCAATCCTTTAAAAAAGTATCAAATTTTCAGATACACTCTATTAATTTAATTTTTCAAAGAGAATAATTTAGGCAGAGGTCACAGCCATAGGCTAGGGTGCAATTTTGCGTGCATGTGTGTTATTTTAATATATGTGAATTTGAACAGCCAGGCTAGTAGTAACTCATTCTCGAAGTCACCCCAGTTGTCATTGCTGTCTATGACTTTCTCTGTGGATGCTTTACATTAAATAGTATTTTATACTGATACCTCCAATGTGGGCCAACTACTGACTTCTCATTAGAAAACCTTCACTAAGGAGTGAAGTTATTGGACAAGCCGAGCAGTTTCTAGAGGTAGTTGAGTAATTAGGATGTGCAAGAGACAGGGAGCATCACCGCCGAGGAAGAGCACAGAGATGAGAGTTGTTCTAGGATGGAAGGCGTGTGGTCTGTCTGGCAACAGATACACTACGGGATGTTGTGCGAACAAAGCATTGGGCTTAATTATATCTCCTTCTGCTTATGCAATTGAGATCAGTGGTATAATTAAATTAGAGGTCTAAACATGAGCTAAGAAACTTATGTTTTTGAAGCTATGAGCTGTTCAAAATAAACTAGGTGCACCTGTGTCCGTGTCATTGGAGGTGTTTATCCTTTTGAAGAAGGGCATTTTCATTGAGTGTAGAGTATTGATAGCTTTTTTGCTCTTGTGAGGTCACAAAGAACTTTCAAGTGTTGACCCTAAGTGACCTTCAGCTTGGTGCTCACAAGATGCAGATATGGTCTTGCACACATCCAAGAATATATGGGCGGCACAAATTAGATTGGAGGTTTTTGTTTGCTTGTTTCTAAAGGACACAAAATTGGGAGGGTGGGGATGAAGATGTAGAACTTGGAAGAGCTGTGGAAGAGGAAATTAATATGATGGAAACACTGTACAAAAGTCTCACAGAATAAATAAATTAATGAAAATAAATGTAAAAAAGAAGATACAGTTGTTGAAGAATGGGGGACTCAAACAAACTATTGTTCTCCTTTAAGAACTTACTGTAACTATTCCATTAGAAGAAGAAATAAAAGAGGGCTTGACAAGATGGCTTAGTGGGCAAAGTGTTTGTAATATAAGCCTGACAACTCAGTTTTGAGCCCTGTACAAACATAAAGGTGGAAAAAAAACTGACTCCAAAAAGTTGTTCTTCAAATCTATCTGCACATATATTATGGTACATATGTGCACACCCACACCTCATATACATGCAATATTAATAATAATAAGTGTCAAAACATGTAGAAATAACTGCCTCCTCTCCGTGACAATGAAGACTTCCAAAGCATCAGAGATATTAAAATTCCATTTGCATTCTTTCCCAAGAGACAACCGTGCAGATTGAGTTTCCCTTTAGGATTATAAACAGAGTCATGGGAAGATACATGTGTTTCTCATCCTTGTCTAAGTGCCATCCTGGGAATTCATGTGCTGAGGATCCAGCTGGGAGCCAACAGCTCTTTTAATATAAGAATAAAGAGACCTGGTAGTAATCACACAGAATGACCAACAAAATCTAGGTGATTTTTCAAACAGCCTGATGGAAAGGTATTTCTCTGGGCAGACAGGAGGAGAAAATGAAGGTATTTTCCCCTCACTGGTTTGTTGGCAGTTGCCATATGTTAGAGAACTCTTGCTGCTGATTTTCTCCTGCTGTTGGGGATTTGGTTTCATTCCCAGAAGAGCTGAACCACAACGAGTCATCTCCATGGAAACGGCAGCCCAATCTTCCCTTGTGTTTGCTGTGACTTGCTGTTGAGTAATCAAATTGGGTGTTGCACATGTATATGTTTGCCTGTTGGTGAAGAAGGTAGCTTTTTGTGTGTGACTTCTAAAAATTATTGTTTTGACTTTTCAATGTGAGGACGAACCTCTGAAATTTCAGTGTCTAAAATACTATGCTGAGGGTTTTAGAACAGACTTGAAGTTTCAGTGTCATCCATGAGAGGAGTTAAAATTTTAGAAGATTAAGATCTAGTCTCATGACACATTTTCTGGGGAAAGAGAATTTTATCCTTGGAAAGACTCTTAGAGGTTAATAACCGAGCTCTGAAAAAAAAAGCAGACAGCATGTATTATAGCCTTTCTTTTATTTAGACAATGGAAGAAATATTTTGCAGTTGGTATGCAATTAAAATTGTGGTTGCTAGAATTTTATTCTGAATCCAAATATCCTTTTAGACACTTCTTCCTATCATGTAAGCCACTAGAGAAAGGGGAGGGGATGCGAATGACATTGACTTGCCTTTCTCTACTGCAACTTTGAGATTGCCACAACTCTAGAGATTCTCCAACAAGCCTTTCGGTACAGTGGAGCTGCAAAGGAGCTGGTGGGGCTAACGGTGCTCATCTCATTTCTGTTTTACTATGGACATTTTTCTGACACTGCTATGAAATATAAGACTAACAAGCAGATTAAAAAGAAACTACGCCTAACACTGAACTCCACTCAGTTCAGCATTTCTGTTATTATTATGGAGATGGTCCTAACATGTACTCATGTTCTTTGTGCTAACACAACTCAAATCTAAAGATGACTGTGCTAAGACATCTTCACATCCAGTCTTGTATATGTGACAGTTGGCTGCCATGGCTCGGATCTCAGGCATGGGCGACTGACTCACTGTGTCTTTCATGGCTCCCAGTTAAGTGCCAAAGATCTCTCTTAATCACCATAGAATAAACTGATCCGGTTGTCTGCAAATCCATCCATACCATATAAATAGGTCATTTATGGTACTTGGACCTTTATTGCCTTTTTAAAATTTCTTCTTGGTTTTATACATCTTGCTGTGGCTAAGGAAGTAAGTAGGAGGCTGTGGGAACTCACTGAGTGGGAGGATGAGACACGATTAACAAAAGAAAGCAAGGCAGAAGAGTGTCACAAAGGAGATATACAAGGACTTACAAAAGCAGGTACATAGAATACACTCACATGTAAGGGAGCCCTGTGCATGGAGGAGGGGCATAGGAAAGGGAGGCAGGAGGGGAATTGGGACAATATTGAATGATGGACTAGGCATCATTATCCAACAGATAATGCATGACCATTTGTACCTGATGTAACATAGATGAACCTGTGATTTCAAAGGGTTCCTTTAGTCTTAGATCACAGGCTATCCTAGGATGAAGGGAGGCAGGAACTAAGAAGGATTTGTGGTACTCAGGGTAAAAGTAGATCCTGGAAACAAAGGACAGATGGAGGATTCTGTCCTGTCTCATCTCAGTCAGTCATTGTGCACTTAGAATTTAATTTAGTTCATAGAGTATTTCCAAGTGATATTATTTTGTAGTAGGATGAGAAATGATCTTAGATTGGTGATAAATATTTACTAATAGGAACATCTTGTATATGTGACAGTTGGCTGCCATGGCTCGGATCTCAGGCATGGATGACTGACTCACTGTATCTTTCATTGCTCCCAGTTAAGTGCCAAAGATCTCTCTTAATCACCATAGAATAAACTGATCCGGTTGTCTGCAAATCCATCCATACCATATAAATAGGTCATTTATGATACTTGGATCTTTATCGCCTTTTTTATTTCTTCTTGGTTT